ATGTGTAACATTCTGCATCTTAAGGGCAGCACATGAAAGTAGGTATACTACTTAATGCATTTAAATGCATCTAAATATGCATTTTCTCTCAGGGAACAGAGGACTAGAGTTCAAAAACATTAAGGTGAGCAACCAGCATAAGCAAAGAAATTCAAAGTTCAGGCAGACATCCCAAAGAATAAATGTTTTAATGGGGCCACTGTTAGGATAGAGGGCTTTCCCCTCCATCTGCCTGCTCTAATCCTGCATGAGTCAGCAGTCACTAAAGGCTGCCCAGCCACCCCAGGCTGGTGGTTGAGCAGTGAGCAATCACAGGAGGTTTCCTGGTTCCTGCAGGTGGATTTGCAAGTATCAGCTGCCCCCATCCCAGCTGACTGTCTGCCTTTGAGAGTGATCAGTAGTTTTAAACCAGCTCTTCTCTATACTAGAGGGTTTACTGGAAGTTCAGGCTTCTGGTTCAGCCCTAAAATCATGTAAGAAAGCTTACCCTCTGCTAAACGCACTGTACAGATTCCTTAGCCCAAGAGCATCCAGGGTGTCAGTCTTCATTTGCCCATTGCTACACTCTGCCCTTTGAAATGGGTTCCTACAAATGGGATTTGAAAGGTGAAGAGCTATGCAAGCTTCTCCCAGGGGTCCTGTAACACACTGTTGGTGGAGAAGCCAGGCAAAGCAATGCCTTGTGTTGCTGTCTCTTAGTATGGCCATGAGCAGCTTGGGTGAACTTTCTTCTCAAAGGAGTGCCATTACTTCAGATGACCCTTCTTCAGCTTTTGCAAATATCATCCCTTGGATAGCAAACCAAAGTGTTTGGTATGAATACATAGGAAGCCTGGTGTGTTCTTAATTCCATTTATTTCCTGAAAGTAGAAGCTATGTCTTGTGTTATAAATATAATAATTGATTAATGAAGACTACATGGTTTTATTATAATCTATAAACATTTTGCTGCATCATCACCTGGCATTCTGGTTTCCCCTGACAAAGCTTATCTGTGGAAGTGATCTTACACTTGCAGTTATTGTTGTCATCCCTTGCACAATTACAAAAAAGTGAAGTAGAAATTTATTATCCACATCAGCAACTCACTGCTGATGCCAAAGAGCAGAGATATTGATTACAGCTTTCTTATATCTCAGTAAATGCATAACCTGATCTCAATCCTTTGCTAATGCTTGGGTGGAAGAAAATTACAAATAAAGACCCTTAAAAGAAGAACCCATGAAATGTAAAATCAATTCATAGTGTTCATAATAACATTTGGTATTTTTTTTGTTTAAAAAGTCCCAGAATCATTGAATCATAGAATAATTTGGGTTGGAAGGAATCTGAAAGATCATCTAGTTCCAGCTGCCCTGCCACGGTCAGGGACCCCTTCCCCCAGCCCAGGCTGCTCAAAGCCCCATCCAACCTGGCCTTGAACCCTCCCAGGGAGGGGGCAGCCACAGCTGCTCTGGGCAACCTGGGCCAGTGTCTCACCACCCTCATAGTAAAGAATTTCTTCCTTATATCTAATCTAAATCTGCCCCCTTTTAGTTTAAAACCATTTTGCCCCATCCTATCACTACAGTCCCTGATAAAGGGTCCCTCCTCATCTTTCTTGTAGCCCCCTTTAAGTACTGGAAGGCCGCTATAAGGTCTCCCCAGAGCCTTCTCTTCTCCAGGCTGAACAACCCCAACTGTCTCAGCCTGTCCTCATGAGGGAGTTGCTCCAGCCCCCTGATCATCTTCATGGCCTCTTTTGGACCCACATGAACAGGTCCGTGTCCTTCTTATGCTGAGGGCCCCAGAGCTGCACATAGCACTGCAGGGGGGTCTCATGAGAGCAGAGGGGGAGAATCCCCTCCCTTGACCTGCTGGCCACACTTCTCTTGATGGAGCCTAGGACATGATCAGCTTTCTGGGCTGCGAGCACACATAGCTGGCTCACCATCAGTTTTCCATTTACTAATACACCCAAGTCCTTCTTGGCAGGGCTGCTCTCAATCTACTCATCGCCCAGCCTGGATTTGTTCTCAGGATTGGACCAACCCCAGTGCAGGACCTTGCACTTGGCCTTGTTGAACTTCGTGAGTTTTGTCTGGGCCCACCTCTCCAGCCTGTCCAGATCCTTCTGGATGACATCCCTTCCCTCCAGCGTGTTGACCTCACCACAGTCAGGTGTCGTCAGCGAACTTGCTGAGGGTGCACTAGGTCCCACTGTCTGTGTCGCCAACAAAGATGGCACTGGTCCCAATACCAACCCCTGAGGAACACCAGTTATCAGTCATCTCCACCTAGACATCAAGCCATTGACCGCAACTTTTTGAATGTGACCACTGAGTGGTCCATCCATCAGATTCATGTCTCTCCAATGTAGACACAAAGATGTCATGTGGGACAGTGTCAAACGCTTTGCACAAGGCCAGCTACATGACATCGGTCCTCTTCCCTTATCCACCAGTGCTGTAACCCCATCATAGAAGGTCACCAGTTTAATTAGGCACAATTTCCCCTTAGAGAAACCATGTTGGCTGTCACCAATCACCTACTTATTTGCCATGTGCCCTAGCATAGTTTCCAGGAGGATCCACTCCATGATCTTGACAGGCACAGAGGTAAGACTAACTGGCCTGTAGTTCCCAGGTCTTCCTTTTTTCCCTTTTTAAAAGTGGGGGTTATGTTTCCCACTTTTACAGTCAGTGAGAACTTCACTGGCCTGCTACGACTTCTCAAATGTGATGGCTAGTGGCTTAGTCACTTCATCCTCCAGCTCCCTCAGGACTCATGGATGCATCTCATCAGGTCCCATGGATTTGTGAACCTTGAGTTTCCCTAGATGGTCTTGAACCTGATCTCTTACACTGGGTGGTTCTTCCTTCCCCCAGTCCCCACCTTTGCCTTCTGCATCTTGGATGGTGTGGCTGGAGCCCCTGCCAATGAAGACTGAAGCAAAAAAGTCATGGAGTACCTCAGCCTTCTCCATATCCCAGGTAACAGTGTCCGTTTTCCTTCTGATGACATAGAGTATGACACCCCCTCCTTGTCTGCCCTGCTTGTCCTTCCTAAAGAGCCTGTATCCTTCCATTCCAATGCTCCAGTCACAGGAGCCATCCCACCATGTCTGTGACACCAATATGACCACAGCCCTGCAGGCATGATCACATCTCTAGCTCCTCTTGTTTATTCCCCATACTATGTGCCTTTGTGTAGGGGCATTTAAGTTGTGTCCCCAATGAAGCTGACTTACTGGCTGGAACTCCTTTGTGCTGCTCTTCAGGTGCTCTCCTGCTGACCTGTGACCCCTCTGCAGGCTCTGGGCATCTATTGCTGACACTGGCATCAAACTGGTAGGAGTGGCATGGGTTGAGGTTCCCCTCTCCCGGCAACTCTAATTTAAAGCCCTCTTCACCAGCTTAGCAAAACTATAACTGAAGATGCTCTTGCCCTTGTCTGACAGATGGACCCCATCAGCCCCCATCAGCCCAGGTCTTTCAAAGTAAGTCTCATGGTCTAAGTAGCCGAACCCCTGACTGTGGCACCAATCCTGCAACCAACTGTTGATTTGCTAGGTTCAACTGGCCTTTTCAAACCCCTTCTATTTGACTGGAAGGTTTGATGAAAAAACTTCCTGCACCCCAGAGGCTCTTATTGCTGCTCCCTGGACCATTTACAGCTGCGCTTGATGCGTTTATGAGGGTCTGGATCCATGAGTGGGATGCAGCAACTGAAGGCTTTTTATTGGGTACCATATGCCAACTCCTAAACCCACAGTGATGCCTTCAAATGGATCTCACACTTCAGAAATGCCTGGTGCCATGTGAGCTTTACCACTTGCTACTGACCAGTAGTTCTTCAATCCTTCTTGCATGCTCACTGCTTGTTCTCCATCTATCCATCCATCCATCCATCCATCCATCCATCCATCCATCCATCCATCCATCCATCCACCCATCCTTCTCTAGATTCAAAATCCTTCCTCTTGCCACATTTTCTGGTGTGTTCACCTTCTTGCTAAATCCCTTATTTATTCAAGAGTATGAGGGAAAAGAGTAGAAATGATGCAGAAAAATGTCAGCAACCTATTTCTTTTTAGTTTTGCCATTGCACACACAGGACTGAAAAAGGCACTGACTTTAAAGTGCATTTCCTCACTCCCACTCAGACTCCTCTTGGGTGAACAGCCTGTTTGTGACCCTCTCCTGTCAAGGTGCAAGCACTGGGTGTATTTCTAAACAAAATGTTGTGATTTTTTCATATAGGAAATAATTCAGAAAAATTGTACATGCTCCGGAATAGTTCAGGTTGAACTGTGACAGTTATCATTCCTGCTGCTAGCACCAGTTAACCCACAGATTTTCTGTCATTAAAGAATAGTAGGAAATGTATTACTAAGGATTTTTCCTTCTAGTGGTGGAGGTCTACAATACATCCACAATAGTAGATAAAGGAATGTACGATACATCTGTTCATCAGAGGTGCTCATAACTGTATCTCCAGGCTTATCACTAAAATTCACAGAATTTGGTGCTTATACCCTTCATGTGCTAAGATTTTTGGTTCTGTTGCCTGTAAAAGACTTCTCTCCCACATCCTGACTCTGAACATACACAAAATAATCCTATTTGTTCAATAGTGAAAAGAGAATTGGCTGACCTGTTACAAACAGGAGTGATTTCCTCCCTAATCTTTCTGCTGTTTCATTCCAAAATTCTCAAAATATTCAATTTCCCATGATCTCCTTCTATGGCAGTTTATTTATTAAACATAATGATACTTCATGCTGAACCAACCCTTTGACCAAGGACTGCCTGCTTGCTGATATAAAAATGTATTTATGACAACAATGTTTTGGAACATGTTGTTAAAAAAAAAAGTTTCTATTTTTTTTAAACAGAAAGATGAAACTAGCTGAAGCTCAGAGGTAGGTGCTTGTTCACAGGGTGTGAAAGAGCTGCAACTGGAAACTGCTGTTTGGAGTAAAATAGTTGTTTCCTAGTGAATATTGACATAATACATACATTTTCTCTAGGTCACCAAGTCCTGCAAAAGCTCCTTTTGGAATGACTCTCATCTTGGTGAGGACAAATCTCCTGAAAACAGAAAAAATGGGGTGATTATTCACTATTTACAACACAGGACTGTGTGGTAGCCTTGTCAGCACTGAAGAGGCCTTTATCACAGATACAAAGATAGTCTCCAGGCTGACAGCTTTGACATCTAAATACAGCTGTAATGTTCAAAGGCTTCATGGGACTCTAACTGCCTGCCCGGATGAAAATTACAGCACAGCGTTGGGCTACCTCTGGAGCTCCTCAGGGGAAAAAGCATCCGTCAGTAGTTGCAATTTCCCTGTTTGCTTCAGTAGGAAATCCAGACCTGGCCACCGCAGCTTTGCTGTGCACTGGGAGGGGACAGTGTCTTTCTCATCTCGACCTTTCTTTTGAGAGATGCTCAAACACAGGATGAAGCAGCCCTGTGGAGTCAGATGGGGGTGAGCTGCTCACAAGGCTGTAAGGTGGTACAGGCATGCTCGTGCAAGATAAGCCTTAACCTGCTGCACAGATAATTTAAGGAGTCAGCTACTATCTCCCCTCAGTGCAACTTCAATACCCTTTATTGCTTCTCACAGTCTCTCTTCTAATTAGTTCATAATGTGCCACAAAATTGGGACTTTGGAATACACAACTCAATCACACATGCATGAAGACAACATTTTAATAGTATTTTAAAGGTCACGGAATATGCTTCATGGAGGAAAAAAACATTTAAAATATCTCATAAACCTTTTTGTCAATCTGAATCCATCTCCTTTTATCACAATAAACAAAGAGAGCTACAAAACTTCTGATGGCACTCAGCAAATGAAAGGTAGGGTTTCTACTACTCCTTGGAGAAATAAGGTGTTATCTGGGTAATTGTTTTCTCTCACACATTTAATCATTCATAGACAATGAGCACAAACAATTGCATATATTAACACAACCCGCTCATCAAAATACATGCTTCACATGATATGCTTATGACTAGATGCCAGGTCAGGAAAGCTTAGCTGAGACATAAGAAACACCACAGAGATTTTGTACAGAGAAATACTGTATTTTTGTATTTTCTGCTGAGAATTAATGTCATATTCAAACTCTCAGGTATTAAACACCAAGCAGATAAACAAGTAAGACATCAGATAATATTGGTTGCATTAAGTGATAGCTGTTAAAAAACGGTATTTTAAAAAAAACACACATCATCTGTGTTACATACATGAATATCACCCTATGATTCAGTATCTTAGTCTATTTTCCCATGGAAACAGAAATTATTTGTGTTCTGAATTACTGTGGAAGTATTTTTTTTAGCGAGCACGCCTGCCAGACCATCCCTCATTTTTATCACCTTAACACTGGATTTGCATGGCTGCTTGGGATCACCTTTCAGCTTGTGTCTGCTGCCTTATTGTGACGTCTGCAGAAGGACAAAAATGGGAACTCAGCCTGGTATTACCTGCTGTGTAGTCCTGCAAATTTTAACACAATACCTCAAAGCTAGAGACTTTCTTACTTTTCACATAAAGTATTCATGTAATCCTCATCTATTTTTTATTGCAGCTGATTAGTTTAGAATTTTCATGGGAGATTATAATGTTTTAATCAAAGTCCTAGGGGAAAAAAAAAAGTATTATTCTGGTAGAATACCACTGTGAAAGGTTCCTATTTTTTAACTGTAGGTCTTTAGTAGAATCTACCCCCTCATTTAGATTCCCAAATATGAGCTAATATTAACTTAAGCAGGACAAAGTCAATGCATGCCTCACCTAGCTCTACAAATGTCACTGTGATTACACCAGTAGTGAATTTGGCCCCACACTTTTTTAAACATTGAATTTATGGCATTCTCAGTCCTGAAAGACGATGAAGCCAATTCTGTATTCCATTATTCTTGTATATCATTAACGTAAGTCATAAAGAGCTTCAACTCACTGTCACACAAGAATTACAGCATTGAGACCATTATGCAAATGTTCGAAGGATTAAAGAGCTTCCAGAAAAGGCCTAACCTGGATTAGGTAATTTGTAAAGCCCTACAGAAAACATGGCCAGTGTAATGCATGCAAAACTGCGGCTGTGCTTTCAGAGTGCAGCTAGGTACAACGGATCCTTGCAGAACGCCCAGCAGGCTTAGTGCTACAAAGCTGGACCATCAGGAAATTCTTTAACTTTGATCTGCTTTGAAACCTTTCCTAAACTCTCCTTTGTAGAAATGCATGCCTAATTTTGGAGTCCTAGAAAGCAGGCTCTGTCTGAAAAGCCACCTACTACTTTTTTATGGCAAAGTTCTAAAATTAATCCTGTCTCTGTAGGAGCAGATCATCGGGACGTTTGCAATTTTTTAATTAAACACTGGCCTACACCATGCTCCACCACAACAAGAATTTACAGCCTGATCCTGAAACTAATGAAAAGAAGGGAACATTATTCATAGATGAAGTTACTTATATGAGGAAAGCCACAAGTGCATAGAAATAAAAATCAAACCTTGACCTTCTTTGTTGAATACCCTGCTATCCTGTGGTAATAAGGTGCCAGAATTCAGGAGCCACGTGTCTAGTGCCCTGGAGCAGTTAAAGTAGAATTGAAGTTTAATAGCTGAAGTCTCTCATTCCACTTTAAAAAATTAAGGTTAATGTTTTTAAACATCCCTGAGTAGGCTAATAACGTCAACCTTAATGGTATAATGAACACTGAAAATTAGAATCATCTACTTGTTGAATTATCAACTGTATAATGAATAGGAGTCTATTATAACTAGTCAAATGCTGTATTGTCAATAAATCTCACCAATTAGGCTCCAGAATCAATCTGTACTTAACTTGACATACTGGCTGTTCAGTACCAATTCTTTCTGAGGTACATGGAAGAAAGCATTTCCTTCGTTTTGTTGCTGGCATGGTTTTAGGGTCAAAGAAATTAATACAGCCCCTCTTTGTTCAAGCATGTTTCATGTCAAGACAAACAAGTAAACAAAAGCATCCTTTAAAAAACATGTGCTAAATGAAGAGAGACAGTATTTGTTCCTAAAAATTTATGTCAGCATTTAGACACCAGCAAGGAAAGCACTGAAAAACCTAAACACTTAGTATGCAGCATGGAATTGAAAACCCAGAGCCAGGTGCCTGACACAAGGCATGGGAAAGGTTAGACTGAAGGTTAGGTCATCCAAAAATCTGTACGCAGAGCTACCCCCCAGGAAACACTAAATCCCACCTCCCAGAACTCTCTGCTCCTCCTGAGAGCTGCAGGTGTGGCACCAGCCTCAACATACATAGGGAGCCCTGACTTGTAGCAGGCTTTGCTGGGAGGGAGGAAGGCATTGTGGTCTCTCAACAGAGTTCTGGCAACCAAAGCACAGACACAGGCCATGGGAGAGCTGGATTCAAGTCCCTCCTCACCCTGGGTGGAGCAAACTCCCATATTTCATGCCCCAGAAGGATGTTCAGCGGCCAAGGGACCTCTCCCTCTCTAGGGCCAAGCCTTTGTCCTATTTGGTGGCACAAGGAGTCTAGAGTCTAGACAGGTATAGTTAGACTCCTTGTGCCACAAAATAGAACAAAAGGGAACTTAACCCTACCATCCTCTCTAGAGCCACTAAGTTACAGTTGATTTTTCTGGGACATTTTTTTTAAAAAAAAAAAAAAAGATTGTACTTTATAAATCCAAAGTTCAGTGATGTTAATGTTATTTGGGTTACAGTAGGTCCCAGAAATCCTAGCAAGAACTCCAGTGTTGAAGCCATCAAAAACTTAACAAATAAGAGAATAAAAACAAGCACAGGAAAGGAAACAAGCCCCAAATGGTGACAGGTTACCCTGCATCATGAGAAGACAATATACATGGCTGCAAAAAGAATGGTTATATTAACTACTGTTATACTCTACATACAGAAGTATAAGCTAGATCTGAGTCTGGCCTATTGCTCCCATACATGCCCTTATATCTGGGAAAAGTTTCTAAATCCTGATTTGTATACATCTATTGAAAGTGATTCTTCAGGAGTTTGATAGAAACTGAAGCTGTATAATCATACTTACACTTTATATATTTTTATATATATGTGTTATGAATTATAACATATTTACTTAAATACATAATATTGCTTATTATTTAACTGATTTTTACCTACTTCTGTTTTTCTCACCAGTAACAGTTTTCTGTTGACCAGTAATATCCTTTTACATCTCAAAGGACAGATAAGCTTAGAATCAGACTACGTTTCTTTGGACTGAACATGCACAATTCCCACAGGTTTTTCCATTTTTCATTTTTCAGTGTCTTATATGCCTGCTTATTATATTACTTTAGTTTATCTCAAGAATGAGTGTGAGTAAATTCTTCTAATATGAAACTACTGAAAAACTGTTGCTAATCAAGTCTAGACCTGTCAGGACTAGGGCAGAACTATCTCCTACTGATTTGTTTATTTATATAGAGACATTTAAGCCTGGTCATTTAAAATAGTGAGATCTCAGTTAATATGAAGCCATTGACACAGGTGACTTACTCCACTTTATATCACCATGAAGTAAAACCAACACAAATACATCTTTTTTCTGTATGGTTGTGTCTGGTATAAAAGAAATATCACAGTGCCAACTTAATCTCAAAGTCTATAGAGGACATGATGCAAACAATAGAAATTAGCAGGTACTGGTAAAATGTTCCTGAATAACCCTCTAACATTTCCAGTTATTAAGAGATTTATTGAACTTTTCCTAAAATGGAATCTTCTGCAGCTGAAGTAGTTCAGACAGACAGAACATAAGACATGAAGGGAAAAAATAACCGCCAGAAAAATTAACATTTTTCCATCCAACCCCACATGAATCCAGTGACAGAAATCAGGCCAACTTCATCACAAAGGGATGGAGGACTGGATATCGCTATTCAAGTATGCCCAAGGTATGGGTGATTAAAAAGACTTGGTAAATTACAAGATTAAAAAAGTGGACCCATACAGGTAATTTCTGCTAAATGTGTCTAAAAAAAACTACATAGGAAACATGTGAAGTGTGCTCATTAATCAAATCAAAGTAAAAACA